ATTTAGAGTGGAATTTGTGCTAAAGACTGGTGGGATCAGAGCTCAAAACACAGATTTCGAACTACTTAAGCGATACCAGGTTGGGATTGTTTGTATTCAGAGGCTTCCTTATATGTGGCGATAACCTGCTGGTGTTTATTTTGAGACTTCTAAATTCCGGATGTTCCCAGATCTCTCTGTTGGCTGCCAAACAAAACCCCTTGGTTAGGACAGAAACACTGTTGACACGTGCAACATCTGGACTGATTTAGCGGTTACTTCCAGTCTCTCCCACTTCTTTTCTGTCATAAAAAGAGAAGATTTATCTGATACCTGTTGCTTTTAGGAGACTGCCTTCAGAATTCACAAACATTGACTTTCATGGAGCATCCCAGGTTTATTTTGGAACAGAGTATCAGAGAAAGTTCATCCTGTTCAGGAAAGCTGTAACAAAATGCCACAAGCAGTTTATTATATTTAGGTGTTCTTGGCCTTCTGCCTTTATACTCCTCGTCTGCACGTGGGCTGTGGTACTGCTGTTCCTGGGGAAACCCTGTCTCCCAGCTGTGTGGAAAGCAGGATGGCTGATCGCTCTTGCAGCTCTGCGTAGCAGTCCCTGGGATCGTGTCTAGTCAGCAGGACGTGCCTCTGCCACCCGCACGGTTCTTGAGCGGGACAGGCCTTCGCTGATGCATCTTCACTCGATACTGCTCTTTTATCCCTCCGGGTGGTACCTTCTTACTGAGAGGGTTGCAGGTTAAACCCACCACGGTGCAGGATAGGACGTAGACATACCTGTACGTAAGGTCTTGTTAACGCCCACGGCCGTTAGGCTGCCTGTATGTTCCTCACAGAGATCCCAGGGTTAGTCGTGAATGCAGCAACAATTGTTTCTGGAGTCGTGTGGGTGCTAAGGAACGTGAAGCCTCTCACTTCTCACAGAGGGCAGAGATGAGATACTGGTACCTGAACGCAGTCCACAGGGAGACAAATCCCTCGTTGCTTAGCTGTAGGAAGAAAACTGGTTTTAGGTCAGTAGGGGGATTTATTCCCTGGTTGCTGAATTGGTGGAGGCCTCTAGTGGATTCTGGCATTGCTTGTCCTTGAACCTTGTCGTCTTGGCCTGTCAGGACAGCCTTTTGTTAATGTGATGGGTTGTAAACAACAGCCTGAAGTAAGCCTGCTGTGGTTTATTCCTTACAACGCAAGAGTAAAAGCTTTTACTAATTTTTCTTTTTCTTTTTTTTTTTTAGGCCAATGTGATGCTTGAATATGATATTGATGAAGCTCAGGCTCTGTTAGAGAAGAATTTGTCAACAGCCACGAGAAACCTTGATCTTCTAGAGGAAGACCTGGATTTTCTTAGAGATCAGTTCACCACTACAGAAGTCAGTATCCTTTTCTTTTGTTTTCGGGGGAGGAGGTGCGTGTGAAGGCTAACGAACAGGTAATGACCCACTTCCTGACACGGTTTTGTCTTCAACTGGCTGCCCTTACATGTGGTAGCGGGGCTCCGGGAAGGTGAGGTGTTCTAGCAGTGAAACGAGGTGCTGCGTTCCCAGCGCCGAGCCGAGGGCCGGTGTGTCGGATGGGGCAAAGCTCGCGTGCGTGTCCCCGCGAAACCGGCTGCGGTGGTCGCCAGCCTGGCCGGGAGCGGGTC